CGCGAGAACTGTACTGTATGTGTATTAGTAGCATGCTCATTAGTGCTATATTTGAATTTGACTAAAACTGCCTTGATCAGTGACTTAAACAATGATTTCAAATCTTTAGGCATCACATCACTTCCATGATATCTATAGCATGGTCAACCAGCAGAGAAACACATGTTCAGTATTTGTTTTGAATAACGGATAGTTGGTAGAGCACAGTGTACTCAGTTCCAAAAATCATGTGTTTTAGGGGTACGGGCACTTAGCCAAGCACCCCTCTCCAAAAACTATTCTTGCACGATTTGACCTGCAACAACATCCTTAGACCTGATAGGCAAGTCTGATTTCACTCACCTTAAGGCCCGCCTTAAAGTCTCTCTTTATTTGTCTTTTAGCATACTTATTTCTAGCATTTGCACAGATTTCCCGGATATTCTTCTGTTTATCTTCTATTTGCTTTGTGTAGGGTAACAACTGCAAGTGAAGTGATGAAAACATAATTAAAATGACATTAGTGGAGTGGATGGGTAATTGTAAACCATATTATGTTTTGGTAAGTTTTAATGTGAAAATAGTAGGAAGAACTGAGATTCCATCTGTCCAAAACAAGGAGGCAGCATTGAAGATAACATTATATTGAGGTGTCAAACCACTAGTCTTTTGAAAATCTTTACAACGAACAGTATGCCATATTTGTGTTTTTGTTGTACAATAAACAAATTTGTATTCTTGATATTACAATTTTATTGAGAAATTTCTACAAACTGTTTCCCCATACATACGGTGTATGAAAGTCCAATGGAATATTCTAAACACATTTCGTTTTATAGTCAAGATAGTCAAGATGGATAACACCACTCAAGATTACAGAGACAATAGTTACAGTTTTAATAGCCTGCCCAGACCGTTCTATGAAAGAGATTTCAGACATAGTAAATCACAAAGACCACTGTCTGGTACATAATTATTATTAACACACTAGTTTATTGTGTTCACAAGCTCATTGGTGTCACAGTCAGAGTACCGGATCTTAAAGCGAGAGGGTCGTCACCTGCACACGCGTGGGAATTGAGTCCCAAGCGATGATAATAACACATGCTAAAAACGCAAAAGCTCATGGGTAGACGCTTGTCTGTAAATAATAACACGCTATGGCCATCTGATGCATGTGCAGGTGACGACTCCCCTGCTTTAACTAACTAGCAAATTTGCTCACTAACACACTGCATTTTGTTTGAATGCTATGCGTGGCAGTATTAGTACCTCTTTCGTCTTCACTTCTATGAGTTCCTTCACTTCTGTTAAGATATTTTGATTTTCTTTAAATAATTCCCGCTTCTCTGCCAGTTCCTGTTTCCTTTTAGCAAGCTCAAATGCTATTTCTGATGCCTCACTGTCACTGTCCTGTGCGGACAAAAAATAGTTCAAGTTCAATTCAATGAAGAGTAATTCCAAACATGGTTCAACAATGACTTGTATGGAATAATATGAGGTTATTACAAGGATACCTCAAAGTATGTACGAAAATAATACAGCGGGAGTAAGCGTAGGTTGATGCAACGGCGTACTGTCTGAGTGCATACTTTGAGGTATCTTTGTACTAACCTTATTATTGTACATCTTTTCCTTCCAAGGGTACATCATGGGAATGCCGAAACCCAAAAAGTTTAGAACAGAATAAGCGAACTTCTTTGTGTGGAGTCTGGTCAAACCCTGGTGGCAGCCATGTTTGTTTTTATTATTAGAGGACACTTACGCAAGTAATTATTCCATATTTGGAATTCACATTTCCTAATATGGTAGGATGAAAATAACAGATGTATAATAGTGTTTCATACTTCAAGCTGCAGAAAATATGTAAAGTGTCCTTTGATTGGCTTGCCAATTAGTTATTAGGGTTGTATGGCCAATCAGAGGCAAAGATGCAAGTCAATTTGAACCAACTCCATTGAAGTGTACGATCCTTTCAACACTGTTATTAAACAAGACTCACCTCAACACTTAAGTTCAAATTAATAGGTGTGACATCTTCCAAATCAAATACGTCTTCCTTGAGCTCTTCAATATCAGCATTAAGGGCCTTTATTTCAATTTCCAGATCAACCGCCTTAGCCTCCAATTCATCCGTTTGATCCTTTATAGGTTGCATTGTGTTTTTAATCTCATCCATATCCTTCTCCAGTAAATCACATTGTGGGCCGAGGTGCAGAGCTCTATTTACAATCAATATGCATGATTTAATTCATGT